GGGCGCGCGGGGGGGGGGGCTGTTCAGAACCAGAGCGAAGCACCAGCTCATGCACAAAGGCAGAAATGCCCCTGGGGAGCGGCTCAGGCAGGGGAGCGCTGCTGCGAGCTGCAGAAATGAATGGGCCATCACCTCCAGAGCAGGGCTCTTTATTACAGCCACCGTACTCCCAGCAGCTGGGGTGAGCTGGGGAGCCCCCCCGTGGGTTCAGGGCTGAGCCCCTCTGCCCCCCATTCCTGCCAACGAGATCCTGCTCTGGGCAGATCCCAGAGCCCCCTCCTGCCAGGGACTCTGTGCCATCAGCCCTGGTCTGGCCTGCAAAGGGCCCGGAAGTCAGTGCGGAGGGAGGAGGGTAAAGTGGGGAGGTGCCATGAAGCAGGAGTCACCCGCTCTGGCTCTGTAACCCTTCCAGCACAGAACGCAGAATGGCCGCCGCGGCAATGGCCCCTGGGTCCGGCAGCTCCAGGCGGGCCGAGCTGATGTAACTGGCCCTGCCAGCACCTGCTTCCATGTTCTTTGTGGATTCAGCCGCAGCCTCTGCGCTCTGCCGAGAGAGAACAGGAGGGAGCTGGTAATGGATGAGAGTGGCCTGGACCCAGCCTCTGCCCCCCCCCCCGCCCCCGGGGAGACCTGGAACGCAACCAGATCGGCTTCCCTCTGCAACTCACCCGATGCCGCCTCAGTCCTGCCCCTCCCCAGGGCTCTGCTGCTGTCCCTCAGCCCACACATGGCCAGGCGTCTCCAGCCATGGCAGCCCCACAGCACACCGGGCCTGGCTGGTTCTCTCAGAGCCACCCCCTCCTTTCCTGCAGCTTTCACGGTGAGCTGCCCCAGTGCCAGCCTGCCCCACTTTGCTCATGAGACCGCTAGGGCCACAGCCCCACATTCACCTCCCCTCATGCAGCTTGGGAATCTGTTCAGGGGCCTGCATGGCTGCAAGCTCCGCCCCTTTACTAGCCCCTCCCCTGTCCCCCAAAGGGGCAGGGCTTGGTGGGAAGCGAGCACTCGTACCTGGACTGCCTTATCCAGCACGGTCAGCATGTTGGCCTCCGGGGCCCGCAGGGCGTGCAGCTCCTTAGCAGCAGCACAGAGGGAATCCAGCTGCCCAAGACACAAGGGGGAGGAGTGGTCAGGGCAGGGCAGGCCCAGAGATCCCCAGTAGCACGGTGATGGGCATGGCCAGAGCTTTGCCGGGTTTCCCTTGTACCATGTGCCCAAGGGGCAGGGCAGCTGCTTGTCACTCACCATGGTCCTGTCCCCAGGCGCAGCTCCCCCGTACCTGGCACAGAAAGCAAAGGGGTCAGCACGGAGCAGTGCCACTGCGGAGGGGTTAAGGGTCGCTAGCGGGGGTGGGAATGCCCCATCAAGGGCCTGCTGCCCTTCCCCCATCAGGCCAGGCACTGCTGCCATGTCCCTCCAAGACCCACGTGAGCCTCCCTCTTGCTTTGCAGGCTCTACTCACTGCTGCATGGCTTTAATGCCGGCATCCATGGCAGCAGCCCAGGCCGCGGGGTCGCTACTGCTCTGCAGGGGCTGCGCAGCCGCCGTCAGGAACAGCCCGTACAGCTACAAGGGAAACGCCAGGCTGCTCAGCAGCAGTGCCGCCCTGACGCAGGGTGAGGGGCCCCGAGATGGCAGGGCCCATACACCTTCTCCCCCCGGTGTGAGGAAATACCACCCCCCGCAGAGCGATGGGACATGCCCCACAGAATCCATACTCCCCCCTGCTGGGCTCGCATCTCCTCCCCCCTCTAGCCTCACGCCAGGGGGCCAGGCTCAAATATCTCCACATCCCCATCAGCGGCACTCACCGCTCCCGAGGACCCTCCCATCTTCTCCAGTAGCAGCCTGGCCAGGGTGGAGAGGATCCGGGACGGCTGGGCAGGCAGGGGCGTGGAGTTCAACCACTCCTGTATGGCTGGAGACACGTGGCAGCATGGGTGAGAGGCAGAAGGGCTGGGCGCGAGGGGCAGCGCCCTCAAACCCGCCCCCCCACCCCGAGGGAGAGCGAGGGCTGAAGGGCACCAGGCAGAGCTCACAGGGTGCAGGACGGATCCTACGATCCGAAGTCTGCAGGGGAGCCAAGCCAGGAATCCTGTTCTCTAGGGACTCGGGGAGCCAGACATGGAGTCCCATGCCTTGTGGGGACTGGAGCCAGCCTAGGATGCTGTGCCGGTGGGGCCCCATGCCTCCAGGGGGTGTGCCAGAGGGAAGGAAGCCCTACGTCCCAGGGGTAATGGAGCTGGTTCCTGGAAGTGACTTGAGTCTTGGTGAGCAGACAGAGTGCTTGGGGGGGAGGGAGGGCGCATAAGCACGGTCAGACTGGGTCAAACCAAAGGTCCATGGAGCCCAGTGTCCTGTCTTCTGACACAGGCCAGTGCCAGGTGCCCCAGAGGGAATGAATAGAACAGGGAACCATCAAGTGATCTCTTCCGTTGCTCATTCCCAGCCCGACAGGCGAGGGACACCATTCCTGCCCATCTGACTAACAGCCATTGATGGACCTAACCGCCATGAATTTATCTAGCTCTTTTCTGAACCCTGTTAAAAGTCCTGGTCTTCACAACATCCTCTGGCAAGGAGTTCCACAAGTTGACTACGTGCCCCGTGAAACAATATTTCCTTTTTTTGTTAGTTTTAAACCTGCTGCCTATTAATTTGTTGACCCCCAGTTCTTGTGTTATGGGGGCAAGTAAATAACTGTTCCTTATTCACATTCTCCACACCAGTCATGATTTTATAGACCTCTCTCATATCCCCCCTTAATCTCCTCTTTTCCAAGCTGAAAAGTCCCAGTCTCAGGGTGCCAGAGTCCCAGGCTGCCCAGTCCCCATAGGGCCAGGTTCCCGTGGCTGGGGGCACTAAGGGGTGGCAAGGAAGCAGACGGAGATGCCTCTCCCCAAGGGGGCTGGATCACAGAGGTGCTCCCCACCCCTCCCTGAACCCACCAGCTCCTCTGTCCTCCACAGAGCCACGAGGGGAAGGCTGCCACCCCCCAGAAGCCAGGGATCCCTGTGTCTGTTGTGAGCTCCAGCCCAGAAGAGCTCCTATGGATTGAGAGATAGTTGCTGGGTCCCAGCACTAACCCCTGGCAGCCCGGGCATGGGTGCTGCCGCAGTCGCCGTCGCCCGCCGCGCGGTCCAGTTCGTTGAGCTCCTCCTGCAGGCCCAGCAGAGTACTGCACACCCGCTCCAGAACCAGCCGCCCCCTCTTGGAGGCTGGCGCTGAGGGAGGGAGGGAGGCAGGCAGGCAGGGTGCTGGTTAGATGGGGGAAGGGGAGTGCCTGGCTTGACATGCAGGATTGAATTGTCACACTCACAACTGTGTCCCTTGCATGCTCACTGCCTGGGCACTAGATCCGGTGAGGTGCATGCCCACGCCTGTGTGTTCCACTCGGTCTCGCCCCCCCTTCCCCCCAAGCCCTCCATTTCGGCCCTCTGCCCTGGCACTGCACACTACAGATGTCAGCACAGCCCCCTGCTCTCCCCAGCCAGGCAGAATGGAACCAACAGCATCCTGTCCTGCAGTGGAGGAAACTGAGGCACGGGGGAGGGGACCTGAATTCCCTTGATCACAGAGCGTCAGCAGCTCAGACGGGAACACCTGCCACCTTGCTCTAACCAATAGACCCCACTCCTCTCTCCTGCTAGACCCAACTCCCCTCCCCTCTTGCTGAATAGAGAACTTGAGCCCAGATGGCCAGCCCTTCCTCCCTGCAGCAGCAATCCCAGGGCTGCTCCATCTCTCTGGCCCGCCAGCCACCTCACTGTTGCGCCTACTCTGCCCACAGCAGGTGAGGTGATAGCAGGGCCTCGGCAAGAGCCCCCAGAGCCTTGTCCGGTCAGAGCCAGGAACAGGGGTCACCCTCCATACCTCCATCTGGGACAGGCTCCTCTGCCTTGGGTCCCTCCTCAGGCGCTGCCCGAACTCTGTCCCGGCCAGTCACGGGCGCTCGGGCTAGGTTGGGCCAGGCCACAGCTGTGGTGTCAGCATCTAGGGCGCAGCAAGACAGCCAAGTCAGGCCCAAACCCAGTCCCTCAGAGGGCCTGGTTCCCAGCCACTGGGAGGGCTGAGGGATTAGCGCAGGGTTGGTCAGGGAACACAGGGCCCTCTTTACCCATCACAGCCCTTGCAGTACTGGGCCCAGCCCCGGCTCATGGCCCAGCCCCAGGAGATGCCACCACTGTAGGTGCTGAGAACTGGGCCTCAGAGCTTCCCTGCCTGCGTGTGCCAGAAGTGGACCCACTGCTGGCAGCCCCTGGCACCCCAAGGGCTCCACTTCTCCTCCATCCTGCCCATGGGGGAAAGATGGCCCTGGATGAGGAGCAAAGGGTCCATCGGCCCGTTTTATCCCCAGCCCTGACGCCAAGAGGGAAAGCCTCAACTCCCGCACAGCGAAGTCTCCCACTCCCATTCTGCGGAACCCCCAACCCGATGCCAGGGGGAAATCAACGCCCCGGGACCTCACCGATCAGTCGCAACAGCGCGTCATCTGCCAGAAGGAGGGTGAGGGAGACACCAGACATTTCCAGAGCCGTCATGAAGGTGCCGACCAGCGCTCGGGCGATGCGAATGCCTCGGTCCTCTGCAGCAAGAGGGCGGGGAAACCGTGAGGAGTGGGATGGGAACCAGAGCTTGGGAGTGCAGGGAGAGTCTGGGGAGAGACTGCAGGCTGGTGGAGGAGAGGAAGGGAAGCTGTCCCTCCTCCCCACAGCGGGAAGGCAAAGGGGAGCAGCATGCAGGGAGTTCAGGGGGTGAGGAGTGAAAGATGAACGTCCTTGAGGGATGATCCAACCCTAGAAATCCAGGGCAGAGACAGCTTGGGGGGCAGTGGTGAGGGGCCCTAGGGCACATACCTGGGGAGCATTATACACACAGCCCAGGCACAGCCTCTACCTGTGAGGAAGAGGGGCGAGTCCCCTGCACACCCTCCCGATCCAACCCTAGAAATCCAGGGCAGAGACAGCTTGGGGGGCAGTGGTGAGGGGCCCTAGGGCACATACCTGGGGAGCATTATACACACAGCCCAGGCACAGCCTCTACCTGTGAGGAAGAGGGGCGAGTCCCCTGCACACCCTCCGATCGGAGCCCTGCCTCATGCCTGTCCCCACTCTCCAGCTCTGGCTCTCACCAAGGCAGCGCACAGCCGCACCAGCCACCACGCCCAGCTCCAGGAAGGACAGGCCACCCAGGTTGTTCACCACCAGCACCACAGAGGCCCCTAGAAGGCAGAGGAGAGTGGGGGTGAGCCCTCCCCTGCCCTGCCCAGGGGCAGCCAGGTCAGGGACAGGGGGTCACTCACCGGGCTCCAGGGCCACGCGCGAGGCATTGGAAGAGCTGCTCATGTGATCGAGCATTGTCTTGACGATTTCGTCCGCCAGTGCCATCTGCGGGGAGGGGGAAGAGATGGGTGTGAA